CGCGCCCGGCCTCTACATACAATTATTTCTTATTCTGAACACTTTGAGAGTAAGTTGAAGACGTAATACCTTATTACTCTTTTAGCATTTCACTGAGTATTTCCTAAAAACAATGGCTTTCTCCAACATAACTGCAGTGTAACTATCAAAATCAAGAAATTTTGATATAATACTTGCATATAATCTAGAGATCCCATTTAAATTTATCAGTTGTCCTAATAGTGTTTGTTATGGGACCACAGTCCAATCCTGGATTATGTGTTGGACTGGGTTGTCATGTCTTTATATATGAAACAGTTCCTCAGTCTTTCCTTGTCTTTTATGACCTTGATACTTCTGACATGAGCAGGTCAATTTGAGTGTGAAATTGTTTCCTCTTCATTTGGGTAAGGTTATGTGTCTTTTGCAGGACTACCACAGAAGTGGTGCTATGTTCTTCTCAGTGCATCATATCAGGAGGCGTGTCATATTTATCAATTTGCCCCATTACTGGTGATATTAACTTGAGTAAGATATCTTTCTGTATATCTGTCTACATCACTTGTAAGATAATGTCAGTATGACTTCTTCACTGTAAGGATAATTATTTTGTGCTTATTTTCAATTAATATTATTTGGTATTCTATTGTAAGGTAGAGCTTTCCTTTCTCCAACGTTTATTTATATAGTTATTTATATCATTATGGATTCCTATTTCCTTCATTATGACTATTCATTTCTAATTGATTTACCATCATTAATCATTTTAATGCTAAAATTATCTCAGGTCAGCCAGTAGGAGAGATCATTCAAGCCAGCTCCTGTGTCCTTATAACAGGTTTCTATCATTCCTGAGCATTCCTTTATTTGGAGGCACAAGATGTTCTGGTTCATTTTATATTTTCCCTGCTCTGGAATCAGCTGCTTCTCAAGAGGCCCCCATTTCCTCCTGTTGTGAATAATTAAAAATTCAGAAACTAAAAAGTCAGAATTCAGAGCTAAAGTTTGGTGTTAATCTGCTCCAGAGTGTCATTACTTTAGGCCCTGTAAAAGGACAGAGCTAGGAAATACATGTATGTGCGTACACACACACACACAGATGCACACACATTAATGTCTGTTTCTATATCTATCCCTCTCTCTCCTTTCATCTACCTCTATTAAAAACTACATGTTCACACTGATACTTCTAAACTCAACCTGACATTTCCTATTTCAATTTCAATAGAGTTTATTCTAGACTTCCTTGTTTCTATACTTGTAACTTCCTTTTCTAACACTTATAAATCCTGGCTCCCATTCTCCTCAATGTATTTACTTACTTGTTTAACCCTCCTGTATATGACTAATGTCCCCACCATATTAGCCAAGTATCTCATCCTCCAGCCCTGCTATCATGAAACATGCAGTCTGTGGCTGTGTCAAAGGGAATATTTTATCTTTTTCAAGGTATTGTAAAAGGAATCTTTCTTTTATAAATTCTAGCTGATTTTTGTTGACATAGTTGAAGTCTATTGATTTCTGTATGTTAATTTTATATCCTGCAAACTTACATAATTATTTTATTGTTTTAGTTTGTCTGTTAATTATCTTGTGTTTCTTTTCCAAGTATATATCCTGAAAATGGAATCTGCAAACAGAATTTGTTTTTCTTCTCTCTTCACAGTTTTAGACCTCAAGTTTAATTTTCTTTTTAAATGTCACTGACCAATAAAACATTAAATCATAATAGCAGTAGTGGGCATTCTTACATTATTCATGACTTTAGTGGACTGATTTCCTGTTAATATGGTAGCTATTGGGCTGAAATGTGTGGTGTTCTATACATTTTTAAGTTTTTATTTTGAAATAATTTTAGACATAGAAGAATTGCAAAGACAGTACATAGAATTCTTGTATAATATATCCTTTATTCAGTTTTCCCTATGTTATGTAACCATGGTATTTATACATTTATAAAAAATAAGTCATATAAGAAATTAACATTTGTTATGTATTTTTTTAAGTGGGTTAGGTAAATATCTATTTCTCCTTCTTTTGAGTCTCTTTTTAAAAACCCAGAATAAACATTTAATTTTGTCAAATGTATTCTCAGCATATGTTCTTACTCTTTTAACCTGCTAATATGAATTAAGACAATAGATTTTCTAATATGAAACTATTCTTGCATCTTGGAAGAAATTCACTTGAGTAAAAATAACATGTGCATGATTATAAAAATTAACTCTTAGATTCTGTATGCTAATATTTACTTAGGACAGTGATAGTTTTTTACACTGATAGTTTTAAACAAGACTGACCTGTCATTTCTTTTTAAAAAGCAATCTTTATCGGGTTTTGATGTAAATGTTATTCTTTTTTTTTGAAACGGAGTTTCGCTCTTGTTGCCTAGTCTGGAGTGCAATGGCGCCATCTTGGCTCACCGCAACCTCCACATCCCAGGCTAAAGCGATTCTCCTTCCTCAGCCTCCCAAGTAGCTGGGATTACAGGCGTGTGCTACCATGCCTGACTAATTTTCTATTTTTGGTAGAGATGGGGTTTCATCATTTTGGCCAGGCTGGTCTCCCAACTTCAGGTGATCCACTCACCTTGGCCTCCCAAGGTGCTGGGATTTACAGGCATGAGCCACCACACCTGCCCGTATTATCTTTCTTAATACTTGTTTTTGCACTATTAAGTATGCCTTTACCTCTGACTTGATGTGTATGTCAAAGAGCATACTTTTGACTATTAGTCGCTACAGAGGGAGCAGTCATGTGCCTGTTCTACCTCTCAGCAGGGTGGTTTTCCAACAACTCAGACTTCTTTCATCTGCTTGTTTCCTTCCAATATGGCACTTCTGTGGGTTTCTTCGTGCAGCCACAACCTTCTTTCTCTCCAAAGCAAACCGGGCCCAGGAGGCTTCTGTGCCTGTCCAGTATTCCCTGCCCTGTCCCCAGGGTGACCCCCTCCTGTCCAGCAGCTGAATTTTGCTGCCAATTTCTGAGCTCTGCATGGCTGGATCCTCTGTAACACCTGCTCTTCTTTCTTTTTCTACCAACTCCTCTAACCTCAGCACTGTTTCATCTCATTCCTGTTCTCTGATTTCTTCCCCAACATTTACACTTCCCAGTGGGCTCCTGTTATCCAAGGAATCTAATTTTGCAGGTCTCCTTGGGATCTGTCACTGCTGGGTCCCTTGGTCCCCACCCCCTGCCCCGATGCCAGCCACACCTTACCCTTCCTGCTCTCTTTCCTTAAGGCTCCGTTCAGTCTTTAGTTATCACATTTTAGGGTTTGTTTTCTCTCTCCCAGTTTCACTGATTATGGAGCCTACAGTGTTTATTCCCCCTTCTTCACCTTGTCATTCTATGTGGTCTCCAGGTGAAGGGAAGACACTATTGTAATTTAAACTTACCAACGTGAATTCCTATTGCCACAATAGTCAAAGAAGGGGGCCGGGCACAGTGACTCAAGCCTGTAATCCTAGCACTTTGTGAGACTGACATGGGGGGGGGGGATCACTTGAGGTCAGGGGTTCGAGACCAGCCTGGCCAACATGGTGAAACCTCTTTACTAAAAATACAAAAATTAGTTGGGTGTGGTGGCATGTGCCTGTAATCCCAGCTACTGGGGAGGCGGAGGTTGCAGTGAGCCAAAATCGTGCCACTACACTCCAGTCTGGGTGATGGAATGAGAATCTATCTCAAATAATAATAATCAGAGAAGGGAATTCTTTATCGGTATATAGGTGGTTTGTTCCCCCAACTACCTGGACAGAATTAGCAGCACTCCGTCAATGTTATACATGGCCACAGATAGCTCTCTTTTGCTTTTCTCAAGAATACTTCCAAACCATGGTGTCACTCTGTAGACCCCCCTACCCTCAACCACTCTTAACAGAAAAAAATAGAAGCTAACAGATGTGGGCTTCCCCAGTCCCCTTTTTCCTATTGTAAATGTGTCTGTAATGCCATTGTGCCCCCACCCTTGGCTCCCATCTTGGGAAGAGACGTCCTTTCTCTCCAAGATGATAATCTCTTCCCCTAGGTACTACGCTTCATCCCTTCTACAAGTATCTAAACTTTATCAATTATCTTTGCCTCTGGTGGCTCATTTTACAAATAAAATTATTTCTTTCAACCTAAAACTAAAAGAAACCAGATAAAAAAATCTGAAAACATTTCTGTGTCTCTGACCCCCTTTTAAGGTTCCTGCCTCTTCCTCCTTAACAGTGCATGCACAGCCTCTGCTTCAGGGCTTTGCCATTCCCTCTACCAGCCACTGCGTCAGCTTTGCCTTCCGCCATGCACAGAAACTGCTGTTGCTAAAAGAAAGTCAAAGTTGTCCCAATGACAAAATCCAATCACCTTCTCCTTTAAAACCTATGTACCAACACCCATTGTTTTGATGTCTAGAGTGGGCAGTCTAGTTCTATTTGTCTGTTCTCTTCCATCCAAATGTTAAATTTCATGATTCCTCAGGGTTTTCATTTTCCCCTCACATCATATAATCTTTATCTTCTACTTCTGAGTCCCAGTACCAGGTAAAAATGACCTAGTTTACAAGTGTTTTAGTAAAATGTCTCTACTCATTGCATTGCACAAGTTAAAAATATTACAATAAGTCAGTTATAATTCCTTTGACTGTAAATGTACCTCAGTGTATGACTTTTATGTGTGAAGGTCATTACAAACAAGAAGTTGTACTGGGGGGAGTAGTAGGAAAGCATTACTTATTTTTTAAAAACTTTTTACTGATTTGGTGTGGGAGCAAGTACACTGTTAATAGTTGGAATTTATGTGGTAGGTATGGGATATATATGGATTTATAGAAAATTTTGACATTTCTGCAGTGGAGTTCTGTTTTGGACAAAGTGTTTTATCAGTAACAAATTTGAATAAATGAAATACTATCAATGGAGGGCAAAGCACAAGCACTAATCTTATCTGAATAAGATTAGTTACTAACAGTACTGAGACAACAGGTACTAGATTTGTGGCTTTGCTATGTGTCGTAGAAAAAGCATTGGAGACTAAAGGAGTTTTTAGTAACTTTATTTTCTAAAACTCCATCCCACAAATATGTTTTCTTCGACATCTCCACTTCCTTTAAAAACAAACAGAAACAGACACAAGCTTATCTTGACGCAGGTTTTCAGTCAGCCGAATTCAGCTTTCAAAGAGGTGAGATCCACCAAAAGCAGCCGCGCGCTCGGCCTCTGCGCCGCGCTGGGTCTCCAGCAGCGCCGGATGACGTCCCCAAGGCGCTGCCCGGGGAGCGAGTCCTGGAAGACGGCAGCGGAGAGGGACGGGCGCAGGTCGTAGGCCACCACTGCGTACAGTATGTGCTGCCGCTCCCCCGAATAGGGCGCCTGCTTGGTAGTCATTTGCCAGAGAGTGATGGCAAAGGAATAAATGTCGGCTTTGGGCGTCACTCCCTCTCCTTTCAGGAGTTCCGGGGCGCGGTGGGTGTATGTGCCTCCAAGGGGGTAAAGGGGTGTCTGGAAGCACAGCAGATCTTCCAACTTCTCAGAGCAACCGAAGTCACTAATTTTACAGACATCCTGCTCACTGATCAAGATGTTCGCGGGCTTCAGGTCCAAGTGCACAATGCTTTGCGAGTGGAGGAAGAGCAGGCCGTTCACAACATCTAGGGAGTACTTGAGACACTTTCCCAAAGTTAACGGTCCTCCAGTGCTGCAGTGAGGCTCCCCCGCGTCCCCCTCAGGGTGGCCGGCGGCGCCGTAGATGACTTGGTGTAAAGTGACGTTGCCACCGAACTCCATGATGATGGTCCCTAGGCTGTTGGACCCCGCGGGCGTGCGCGTGCTGGCAGCCACCACGCGCACGATGTTATCGTGGCGCAGCCTTGCTACGTTGAGCTCAGCCCAGAAACTCCGCCGAGATGCTAGTCGGTTCTTAGTGCACTTGTTCACTTGCTTTATGGCCACAGGAACACCGTGGTAAGTCGCCTTGTACACCGAGCCAAACCCTCCGGCTCCCAGCCTCTGCAGCAAGCACACCTGCTCCCAGTCAATGGAGCACCAAGCCAGCCGGCGCGGCAGCCGCGGGGCCCGAGGAGGAGTGGCCCCCAGAAGCAGCTTCGCAGGGAGCTCTGAGGGACTGCTGCAGGGCCGGGCGTCCACCGACGGGGAAAACTCGCTGGGGAGGTAGGGGCGTAGGGCCAGGGGCGAGGGCATCGCACTTTGCAGGGGGACACCAGGGCCGCTGGGGTGAATGAAAAGACCAGGGGAAACCGCGGGACTTTGGAAACATGACTGACTACTCCTTGGCTCCACCCCTATCCCTTTTCTCCTTTTCCTTCATTTGTTTCAAATGAGCTACATCTGTGCTGTCACTCAGCAAGAGTTTTTATCAGATGGAGGGAGAAACCGGAATGAAGCACAGCAGTCCCTTTCAGATGAAAGCATTTCCCTTCCACACTTGAAGTGAATTCTTATAAAAACAAGCTCATGCCAGATAAACAGCATGGAGCTGCCCCAGAACTCACCCCTCTTTTACATTATTTGTTTAACTATAATGAAATACTTTTTTTCAAGTCACATCCGCTGCACATTATCAGTCCTCAGACTAAAGAGACCACAAAGCACAATGAAATTGTTTCACACTTTGCAGGCTATAATGATTGTTAGTGTCATTCTCCAGCTGCATTAAATCACTTCCAGCAGTTATTGGCTGAGAGTTGAAATGCAAACAGCAGACATTTGTTTAATCAATTACAGGGAAAAACTAGGTGCAGCATTCATATGGATAAAAAATTGCAACGTTAATGAATCCAAATAGAATCACTGATACAGGTCATAACACACACCTAAATTCATCAGTGGAAAGGAGAATCCCCTGACAGTCTATGCAACTTACACAGCAAATTAGCAAGACGTCTTAGCAACATACTGACTTTGTAACAATCCTTCCCTTTCAAGGCGATTTGGCCCACCCGGTCAGCTCACTTGCAAGAGAGATTCTAGGCTTTGCAGTGAACGAGTTACAGAAGTTTTGAATCAGAGTTGGAGGAGAAAAAAGAACAGAATGATTCAGAGCTGTGATCAGGGCTTCAAATAATAACACATATGGGAGAATTGTAGAAGAGGAAAAATGTGAAGAAATAAAAATGGCACAAAATCACTAGTACCTACATATAATGTAGAAAACCAGAAGTTGGAATGAAATTCAGGGTATTGGCCATCAAACAACAAGTTCTTCCTTTCTGATTTTTATAATGAAAATTAATTTTCTACCAAGTGCAGTGAGTCATGCCTATAATCCCAGTGCTTTAGGAGGCTGAGGTGGAAGGACCACTTGAGGCCAAGAATTTGAGACCTGCCTCTACAAAAAATAATAATAAAGTTAGCTGAGTGTGGTGGCGCACTCCTGTAGTCCTAGCTACTTTGGAGGCTGGGGCGGGAGGAGACTTGAACTGAGGAGTTTGAAGCTGCAGTGAGCTATGATCGTGCCACTGCACACCCGGCTGGATGATAGAGCAAGACTCTGACTCTAAGCAAAAAATTATTTTTCATACCATATCTTTGGAAAAAGGACCAATAATACCATATTCATGAGAAACACGCGCGCACACACACACACACACACACGTTAGGATATTTTAAAAAAATCAAATGGTAGCCTGGCACGGTGGCTCACGCCTGTAATCCCAGCATTTTGGGAGGCCGAGGCAGGTGGATCATGAGGTCAGGAGATCGAGACCATCCTAGCTAACACAGTGAAACACCATCTCTACTAAAAATACAAAAAATTAGCCAGGCGTGGTGGCGGGCACCTGTAGTCCCAGCTACTCGGCAGGCTGAGGCGGGAGAATGACCTGAACCCGGGAGGTGGAGCTTGCAGTGAGCCGAGATCGTGCCACTGCACTCCAGCCTGGGCGACAGAGTGGAGGGAAAAAAAAAATTCAAATGGTAAAGTTCCCTTCTTCTAAAGCACCTATGTGCTAGGTTATGTGTAACCACATTTTAATGATAGCAGTTGTATGTTTTTGAAGTATATTGACTTTGAGAAGGTAAATTAATAAACATGAACCATTTACAGAAGCAATTTGAGGTCCGTGAAGCCCTGGAATAGGATTTCTATTCTGTACTACCTGTGTGGCTTAGTATGTGATCTAGTATGTGTATAATATTTAATCTGCTTGAGCCTCAATCTTTTTGTTTTTTTTTTTTGAGACAGAGTTTCGCTCCTGTTGCCCAGGCTGGAGTGCAATGGCATGATCTTGGCTCACTGCAACCTCCGCTCCCTGGGTTCAAGCGATTCTCCCGCCTCAGCTCCCGAGTAGCTGGGATTACAGGCATGTGCCACCATGCCCAGCTAATTTTTGTATTTTTAGTAGAGACAGGGTTTCATCATGTTGGCCAGGGTGGTCTCGAACTCCTGACCCCAGGTGATCCACCTGCCTCAGCCTCCCAAAGTGCTTGGATTAAGGCGTGAGCCACCATCCCTGGCGAACTCTATGGAATATTTTAGTAGAAAGATTGTTGTGTGCAATCGTGTCAAACCCTAAATATAAAAGGATGCCAATGAATAGAGAAAAATAAAGTAATACACTTATATTCTATAATAAATCTACATTGCAAAATTTACTCAGTAACTGTCACATAGTTGGGATTATAATTCAGGGCTCTGAAATGATTATATAATAGTACTGTGAATATTAGTAGAATGAGAGTGACTTTACCCCCTAGATAAGTCACATAATGCAAGATAATGTGGCTTATTATATAATCTTTATTTTTAAGATAATCGCATAAACAATTCATTTTCAAAGTTGGTTTCAATCTTTACACAAAACATAAGGTATTGGTGAAAATGTGGCATTCTGTGTATTTATAAACCCCAAATAATTGAATATCCAATTTACAACAGCCTTTGTTTTCTTTTTTAAGGTATCTTAAAATATTTATTTTACTCAGCAAATTGCACTTACCCTGAAAGCAGGATCTATCTCCCTATTTATTTTTTATCCCCTGTAACAGTGCCAAACATATTTCTTATTATGTTCTTACTTTACTTTTGTTTTTTTCTTTTTGAGACAGTATCTCGCTATGTCACCCAGGCTGGAGTGCAGTGGTGTGATCTTGGCTCACTGCAACCTCTGCCTCCTTGGCTCAAGCGATCCTCCCACCTCAGCCTCCTGAGTAGCTGGGACCACAGGCACACACCACCACACCCAACTAATTTTTGTATTTTTTTATAGAGATAGGGTTGTACCACGCTGTCTAGGCTGGTCTTGAACTCCTGAGGTCAAGTAATCTGCCCGCCTCAGCTTCCCAAAATGCTAGGATTACAGGGCACTGTGCTCGGCCCTGAAGTTTAATGTTTAATCCTGATTTGGTTACCAAATATGTGTGCACTACGTAATATTTTGGATCTCAAAAGTGGGTAAAGCTTTAAGCATGGTGGTAAAAGGCTCTTAGGGGCCAGATGGCCTGGGTTTCTTACCATCCCAGTGCTTGTTTCCTTATCTGCAAAATGAGGAAAATATGCCCACCTCAGGATTGTTGTGAAGAGTAACAGAGTTTCAAATACTTAGATCAGTGCCTCAATGCTAATTATTATTTATAAAACTCATTTAAAAAACCATGTGTATGGGCTTATACGAATAAGAAACAGATTTGTTAGGAAGTATTGGTTTAAAACTATCCTGTCAGGGCTGAAGTAACTCGTTTTCACGTTAAACTAACATAAAATGTGAGTATTTTTCTGCTCTTGAATTTTGAGGTTAAAGATATAAAATCCTGCTGTAAAACGTGGGTGGGGGGGGTTAACACTAATCTGATCAAATGCAATGAGCCTATGTCATCCCCTAAACAAAGGCAAAGAGCAAAATGTGTTGATAACAGGGAATTCTCCTTGGAATTACATATGAAACAAAGGAAGAGAAACTGCACCTCCTGAGGAGCGAAATGCTCTCCTCGTGTTCTTAGCGCACAGGCTTTAAGTGTTTTGTTCTTTGATTGGCAGCATGACTATAAAGATACTTCCGTATCAAACATCATATTTATCACAAGAGTAACAACAGATACCAGAACGGATAGCTCTTTTTAACTGGACTTTAATCAGAGCCTGAGGATCGCGGATCGTGGGAGAGCGTCCTCCTGACCAGCGTGGTTGGCTTTCTGGGCACGCTGGGCCTGAGCTGCCCCAGCTCCCTGGGCGCGCACCGGGTTTCACGGGTACCGGGGACCGCGGGACGCTGCGGCCTCCCTGCCTCCTGCACTTGCTGCGCTGGGGCCGAGGAGGTGGCTCTGCCTTTCTTGATTCCCCGGTCTCTGGAAGACAGCCACCCTCGCCGCCTCCTGGCTGCCAGTGGCCTCGCCCGCTGGGGCGTTTGTGCGTTTCCTAGCGCGCGGGGTTTGGGCGCTCTGGTGCCCGGAAGCACGTGGGCGAGGCCGTCGGTCCCCGAAAGACGCTCAGAGTGCGCCCAGCCTGCCCTTCTGCGTACGCAACAAATTTTCCTTTTTCTTTAGAGTCATCACGTCGTCTTTTGGAAGTCAGTCTTAAAAGGCGGTGAAACTCAACAGCAGTCTCAACCGCTCACAGAACCCCACCGACGGTGGCGGCGCTTGCGCCTGCGCACCCTTGACTGCCGCCCGAGTCCTGGCAGAGGACTGCCCGGTTAAGCGATCTCCGGTTACAGCGGATTCCAGAGGTTACAGTGGATTCCAGAGGTCACAGAGGTTACAGTGGATTCCAGAGGTTACAGTGGATTCCAGAGGTTACAGAGGTTACAGTGGATTCCAGAGGTTACAGAGGTTACAGTGGATTCCAGAGGTTACAGTGGATTCCAGAGGTTACAGAGGTTACAGTGGATTCCAGAGGTTACAGAGGTTACAGTGGATTCCAGAGGTTACAGTGCAAAGAGTGCAAAGAGTATTGCAACTGTGCAAGATTGGTATTGCTGGTTACAACCGTGCATTTCATGGTCGAAATTTCATTTTTGCCTTTTTTAAGACTAAAAAGTTAAGCTGTAGATGAATATATACGCTTTACTAAAAATTCCCATACAAAGATTATAGAGTCAAACTTGAAAAACATCTTTTTTTTTTTTTTTTTTTTTTTTTTACTTCAGTGGGATTATACTATTGACATTCTGAAATTTGAATTTTATACTTAGCAATATAACATAGACTTGTTTCTATATCAGTAAAGTACATATAAAGCTACTTTAATTTTTATATGGTCAATATAATATGGTCAGGAGCAGATCTAAATTTGTGGATTGCATGGAGCACGTCCCTGGATGTGACCAGCGCACACTCTCTGTTTCCATGCGGGGAGGTTGGGGTTGCTTGCTTCCACTTTGCCCTGATCACTTGGATTTTGTATTTTGACTCGAGATATGTAAATACATTTTTACTTCTCTAAATACAGCTAAACTTCACAAAAGGTTTTAAGACATGCAAATATGTTTCAAACTGGTTTTGGAAACCTTTGAATTTAATGATATCTTGCAATTTTCTCATATTTTTAAGAACATAAAATGCTTATAGATATTTGAAAATTTGAAATTTGATCTGATTGAAA